ACATACTAGTCAACCTCATCTTCAGCTGTACAACATCTATGTTGCAGCGCAAACAGAAGACCATGTTGGAGAGGGTGTCCCAATGATCAAGAAAGTGCCAATCTCACAAGATGGAATGACTGGGTGTTTCTGGGGTTGCAGCTCTCAGAGCAGGGTTCAGGAGTGGTTACCTTGCACATGCTTGACCACCGACGATTTAACATCACTGACTTCTGGTCATGGTTGAACAATCAGGTAACAGCGTCAGCAGTTTTGGCAACTCATTACCGGCCAGCAATTGAAGTAAGCGAGCAGCATGATGATGCCGAAATTCGATTGCCATGTTCATTCATGCGAGACAAGTGTAATACAAGAAGCGAGTCTGCCACTCCTGGACCGGGCTGAGACTCTCAACTCCGCTATGACGGTACCACTCATGTACCTAATTTACACCCTGGTAATTGAGGCCCCCAGCAATCCCTGTTATCTATGCCACTTTGGTGTAAAGACCCGACCAGTTCCAGACTGTCGGGACAGATTGTGGGGTCAGTGAAATTGGAGTTGTGAGACTTGTATTCGTACCTAGCAGCCTAGGTATTCCGTACTAACTGTAGGCATTTTTACAACTGTACGTTAGTAGTCAAGCCCAAGCACAATCCATGACGTCCTCAAGCGTTCATCCGTATATGAAGACGTTTTTGGTCAGGAAAATAGGCTCTCAGGGTCCGTACATAGATGGAAATCGCACCACCGATGGCTTTCAGTGTCTCACCAACAGGCACCGTAGTATGCCTCTACACTCAACGGTCTACAGCATGTCGCGAGAACACCCCCAAGTACACAGAACAACGAGCCCCTGCTTGTGAGCCTATATCATAATACTGTTGAGCTAAGACTTACCTGCACAGACCAGACGATCCTTCGTTTAACACCGACGCAAGAAGACGCCTACGAGACGAAGATCCGCTAAGTTTCAGCATCCAATTCTATTGGACAAGTCGAACCAACAACATAACAACCCCTCAACATCCATTGAAAGCCACCACACGTCGGTTGGTGGCTGCAGATTGTCTGTGGTCCCAGCCCCGGGGCCGATCCTAGACTGAGTCCGCCCTCTCACCTCACCTCTCACTCTCACTCTCACTCTCACTGCTGCCCGCCCGCCTTCTTAGTCCAATCCCACCGCTACGGACCAACAGCATAAGCCTAGTTCTACATAGGTTAGGCGTGACCCACTTGACATGGTTGTTTAGTACAGTACTCGCTCTATGGATGTCAAAGCAAAACACGACTTGTTTTGGAAGTGGTGAGGTTCACGACCAACATACATGAATCCTTTCACCTCGACCTTTTACGTCACCCGGTTCGAAGCACCCTTTTTGTTGAGCCGATGACGGCGGAAGTTTGTACTGTCCGTTTTCTTGCCGAGCTTATCATGCTGACATCCTATATAGCATCTGATAAATATATCGGTTCATTCGGCTTCAACTGCTGCCCATGGTTCATATCACAGAGTTGAGTACAAGTAACCAAGCTCTATTCATCGAGTACACACAATACGAAGTTCGTAAGCTGCCCATGTTATTATTGCTATACCACTTGGCTTATTGATTTGGAAGCAGGGGTCAATGGCCCCAATCGTAAACAGAAGCTGCCGTAAGATAACCTGATATGGTCCCAATCTGTTGGCCGCACTGCGGCATCTGCAGCCTCAAATTCTCTTCACCGCATGTACACATGACCTGTGACCATCCCCACAGCCTCTTGCTATTGCAATCAACCCAATAGCTCTATCCCTATTTAGCTTTGTTTTGATGTTGTTTCCCGGTGCTACGTCGCCGATCTGGTCGCAAGGTCCAAAATCACGTCGCTTTCCAAGCGAATTGGTCTGAAATTACCACTCATATTCGCCAGTAGCCTTGTGAAAGACATACTCCTTACCGTTGACTGTCAAGACTCCATCCTTAAGAGTGCACTTCCTATAGTTGCAGTTAGTAAATGAAACAAGATTACTCAAACTGATGCTGAAGTTGACGTTGAAACGCACCACTTGTTCTTGACCCGCTGGACCTTGTCGTACATGCACAGCATGATATTGCCAAGCCCCTCGTCATCAACATCATCGTCGTCTCGGTCCTCTTCTGGGTCATCGAGGTCTGAGTTGATGGCGTCGTCATCATCTTCCTCATCATCATCACCTCCATCGTATGCGGCAGGTTGCTTGCCCTTGGCCACGCGTGATGTCGAAGCCGATGAAGTTCGAGTTGCCTCTTTTAAAGGAAGCATCAGACCGCCGCCCTCCATGCTCTTGGCCTTGGCAAGGATCTGTTCATGCAGCATACGATCGATATCAACTCGCCCAAGTTCATGCAAATTACCATCAGCAGCTCGTTGCATGAGTACACCCTCAAACTCTTCCAGATCGCCAGCGCCATCGGTCTGGCCGTTTTGAATGTGGGGCTGACCGTTGGCCGGATGTTGCTGTTGCTGTTGGGCTGTTGCGGCGGCCATCTGCTGACGATATATCTGCTGCTGGTGTTGTTGCTGGGTTAGGCCTGGCTGCTGTTGTTGTTGTGGTTGCGGCAGAGCTGGTTGTTGCTGCTGTTGTTGCTGGCCCTGCTGAGAATGGCCTTGTTGCTGGTGAAGGGCGTTGATGGAGCTGGCCGCTCGCTGGCCATACTGAGCCTGCAGTTGCTGAGCAGCACGATTGGCAGCTACGTTGTTGTCATTCATGTTGATGTTGGTGTTGTTATTGTACTGTTGGTAGGCCATCGGGTTACCCTGTAAGCCGGGTTCTTGCTTGATAGGCACATGAGGCTCAGTCTTGATATTGTTCCCTTCGGGTTTGATTCCATTCTGCACCTGGGGTTGGGCCATTCCTGGTAAAGACAGACCGGTTGGGTTGCTTAGCTGAGGCGAGAATTGAGCCTGGGCATGAGTCTGAGCTGGTGGAATAGCAGACGGCGGTGCTTGTGCGGGGGGGTCAGGCTTCGGGTCCCAAGGGAACTGAGCGACATGAAGCTGGGTGAGCTTTTGCTGCCATCCCTGGTTTTGAAGTCAAGTTAGCTATTTTCTACATCAAGTATAATTCGAGCAAAAACATAAAATTCAGGATAATAACGTGATGAGTTAATCAACTGCCTGTGTGCTTAAGCCGTATGTTTCAGCTCGCTGGTGAAGCAAAGCAGCGAAAGAACAGGCTCAAATAGAGACAAGGTGTGCAAATCACAGTATGTTTGGAATTTATAAGCAAACCGGCAGAAGGAAACGTGCGGCCATGTTAGCAAACGGGTAAAAAGGTGAGGCAGTGCAAGTGTAAGACAGGTGTGTTGTGGTGGTGATAGGATGATTTGGCATATACAAGTGGATATGAGATGATGATGGAGGGGGAGATACATCTCGAGCGAGCCAATCAGAAAGTAGCGGGTGTCGGCGGAAGGAGTCAGGCAAGTGGCAGTCGCAGCAGGGGCTATGGGCTTAAAAGACCCAAATAGTGCTGTGTCGCCCCCTCCCCCTCCCCGTAACCCGCCAACTCCCTCTGCCCCCCTTCGCTATGCTGCCTGCGATGCGCTCCGCTTCGATCGTGAGTCGATCTTCGGCTCTCGAGGCCATCTCAGAGAGAGTGCTGCGACTTAACAGGAGCTGCTGTCTTTGATCCCACGATATTCGTGGGAGCATGATGGTGTACAGAGTTGAAACATATCGACACTCGTCTTTGTTAATGACACAGGCCCCTCTCACCCTTTCCTTGGCGATTCCCAAGAATCAACGAGAAATGCAGGCAAAACATGAAACGCGACGAAAAGTATATCTCTTACCTGTCGCAGCTCCTCCAGCACCGATTCCTCAACACCGCTCTCCTCGAAATCAACTCGCGAGCTATTGACAACCTCGTCAATGATGGCTTGGTAGACGTTTCCGACGGCTGGGTTCGACATGATGATGTTTATGAGTGTAGTCCGGTCGATGGAATTTATTAGAATATCAAGAATAGTTGGATCCTCGATTGATGTCTCGCTGAAATCGCGCCGTCAAGCGGATGTGCCCCGATGGCAGTTCTCTCTACACGGATGACCTTGGCGCTGGTGAACGCAAAGTGCAGCTTGCGATAAGCAGCGCAAACCTGTTCTTCAGAAGAGACCTAAAAGGGCCTTTTGAGAAGGAGATGTTGTGGTGCGGATGTCGTTGCTGTGGTGCTCGATAACTGCACTTGATGTAGATAGATGTAAATTCGGCACTTAGCCACGGCGATGCGCTGCGCCTGGAGGTGACAGTTAAACGACGAAAGAATTGAATTCAAATACAATGCGAAGTAAAGACACCTCCAATAAAAGATTGAAAGAAGCAAAAGGCAAATCAGTATCAATTAATTACTGCGTCACACGGCTGCAAAATACCGAAGAGGGTCTTGTGCCAGGTCGGGGTGTTGTGCGGCTTTGTGATGTGATGTGCAGTGGGGAGAGTTGGTAGCCTCTGGTAGATTTCTGTTTCATCAACTGCTAGCTGGGCTGACTCAGCACTTCCATCCCAGCGGCCCCTGGGCCTTTTCAATCCACTGAGAGGCTCCGCTCACAGGGCTGATTGAGGACGAATGTAACCTGAAGCTCATCTCTCTATTATCCATTGATCGCAGCAGCCCAGATGATATCGGATTACCTAGGTAGGCCTCGGTGTGCAAGAAGACCTGAAACAATAGGGATGCAAAAAATAAATACCAAGGTTAGGCTTTACTACACTGAAGCTGGTCCAAGAATTCTGCCACTTGGGATTATTGTCTTGTGTCTCCTTCCACCCTTGATAGCCCGGCGACCTTTGATATCGAATGCGAAGCGTCATTGAGATATCAAGAGTGCTATATAACATGGATCATTCACCCAGCCTTATGTTTACTTTATGCTCAATGATTAGAAACTTAAAGACTCCCTATCGCTTCATTACTCAATCAATCTTTTATCTGTTTTTCATACTCATTTATGCATTATGTATGTATCTGACATCGCCGCCCACCTTCAATAAACACTTCATGCCACCAACCGTCTGAGCGGGTGTGCTTCAGTATTAAACACATATTCGTCCAGACTGATCAGCTCCGGGTCGCTAAAAATGAGATAAAAGTACTTGAGTGTTTCACCCATCCAGAAGGACTCCATTGAATCCACGGCGCGGGGTTTCTCCTCTGCAACAGTAACATCCCATACAGCTGTGTTGGCCAGCTCTGTCTTGGTCGCTTCTTTAATCGATTTGAACATAGTCCAAGCGTGCTCGGTATACTCGTTCTCGCCGGTGACCCGGTACATCATGAAAACACTCTCAATGGCCTCTGGGCGCAGGATGTATCGGCGATCAGGAATATGAGTAAACCCTCCGGGAAGATGCTCGTCTTTGATAATAGCATCCGCCTGTGCTGTCTCGCCCTCTTTGATCTTTGCCTGCTTGAGAACACCTTCCTTCCACAGCTTTTCGTCCCATGGACAATGCTCCTTGGAGTCACACGGAACCATGTAGAAAGTCTCAGGCATGATACCATGAGGAAATGCTTCATAAGTGTAGATGCAACCATTGGTGAGTTTGACCGCAGTGTCGACGTCCTGCTGGCGGTTGAAGAGTCGCCCACCTAATGCCAGCATGCCTCCAAGAAAACAAACTAGATGCTGTCCCTGACTCTCGAGTTCCAACTGGATTTTTCCACCTTTGTCTTTGGCATGAATTTGTCCAGATATGAGAATGTCTTTGTTTTCAGGCGTCATCGGCCGAAAAAAATTGTGTTCTAATGCTGCATCCACGGCCTTTTCATACATGGCCTGGTAAGCAGGCAGTTGTCCACCTGTTAGTGCTGCCATCTTCGGCAAGTATTCGTACACACTGTCAGCCATTGCACCGAGGGTGAAAACGGATCCTTGGTTAAAGATCTGGCTCTTTGCATCCACAATCAGAGGCCACTGTCCAGGGAGCATGGTAGAATCTTGCTGTGCCGCCAGGAGATCCATGATAGTCTGTGAGGCGTCAAACCACTTGGCATCTCCCGTGAGTTGCGAGAGACGTGTAAGCTCGATACACAAGCTTCCAATCTCTGCAACGAGGACTCCGGCACCAGCAATCTGATTTTTACCCTCCCCGGCGGCGTGAAAATTCCAACGCAAGATAGGCATGTGGTTGGGTGTGTCAAAAGCCTTGTAAATCATTTCACCAACCTGGACTGCCTTGCGGAGCAAACGCATATCCTCGCTAAGCTCAAAGGCGGCCAGAAAGCCGCCAAGATAACGGATAGTGGTCTCAAATATATTGACTTCTTTGAGATCCGTGGCTGTGAAGTCAATCTTGTCGACTGCATCCACGGCTTCGTAGAATTCTTGGCGCATATCCATGATCCAAAGGGTATCAAGGGAGTCAACGAGAGTAGCGGCCCAGCCGCCGAATGGATTTGCTTGGCCAGCCGAGACGGGACTGAGCTCGTCTGCCATCCAGGCGTGCTTTCTGTAAGAGTTCCAACATCTTGTGAAGGTCTCCTTGACAGCCTGTTGACGCTCGCGTCGCAGTTCAGCAGTACTAATGGAGAATTCAGGGAACGTGGCTTGGACCTTGGGATAGGTGACAGGAGGAGAAGTGGGCAGTGGTTGGAAGGCGGAGTGAGGATAGTTGACTTTGACGGTGTTCCAGTAATAGTTGTCATCCTGGTCTTGCCTCCACAGCGAAGTCATTACGGGCCAGCCGTGCTTCTGGTTGTGGTTGTAAGGGCCGTGTCCATATCGGGGTCCAACGTATTCAGGGGTCCTACCAGCCCAATAGCAGAAGAGGATCACTGTCAATAGGCTGCAAACTAAAACGAGTCCTCGACTGCGGAGGAGCATGGTAAAAATATGGGCCCGTGCCGCGTTGAGCGTCGAAAGGAACAGAGAAGAGGGTTTCGAGATGTTGCAGAAGAGAGTCGTCTGTCTCCTCTTTCTGTTGTGAGGTAAGGGAGAGGTAGAGATACCTAAGGTAAACTAATCTTACCCGAGGGTTTTTGTCTTACCTTATCTTTGATTTGACACGCTGAGGTTGGTAATAAAACAGCTTGGCATTTGTACCATGCAATTTGCCCCGCCAAGCAATGGTGGAATGTACCTTATACCTTGATCCAGGTAGAGGGTACTTTGCTTTAGCTCGGCGAAATTCGACCAAATGTGAGTGACATTATCAACAGGACCAACACACAGTTAATGAGCGTTTGAACACTGTACTCATCCGCGCCGAAAATGCACCTCAATACAGTGTCGATTGTGCAAGCGCCCGATAAACATCATCCACAAAACCAACTGACAATGAAACGGATTCAGGAAACTATATGATACTCTTATTGAAATTCTCTCCACTACAAGACTGTGAAATACTTATCTGATGAGTGGGTTCTGTTGCTCTAGTTCTGCTGTGGCTGAAATGTGACTCTGTTGTTCCTGGAAGGATCTTTTGTCTTTTTTTTCTTCACATTTTTCAAAGTGAGACATGCCAAATTCTTTCTTTATTCAGCGGTTACTACTTCCTCTTATGATCTCTTTCCCGGGGGAATCAGAAGCATGTGTTAGTCCTCGGTAGTGAGATAATGGAGCTCAACAGCCCTTGTTCGGGTAGCACAATCCTTCGATCTGCATGACGCCCATCAGGGCAAACAAAGAAGCGGTTGACAGGGGGGGTGGCTACATGAGCCGCAGCATCAAGATTGGCCTGGTGGAGGAGCTTGGGGACTCTAGGCCTTCTACCTTCTAGACCTTACGGTTTGAGAAAATTGCGGAATAGTTTTCTTTTTCCTTGCAATGATTGTCCACATCCTAGGCCTGAGATAGCTCGAGGCTTAAGCTCCATGATGATAGTCCTAAACTGGTTATCAACATATGCCAGATTTATTCAGAAGAAACTTTGGGTTTAACTTACACTTCAATGTAGTTGTATCAGTAGCTAGTGATCCTCCATCATTCTCTTGCATCCTGCAGCTAGGCTCTTGTATTCCATGACATTGCAAAGCTAGAGAAAGTCCATCTCAAGACCGACGTGACTAAGTACACCAGTGCAAGAATGAATAATAGTGTGTCTGTACATCGGTCGTAGGTTGCTGATTCGGTCAAGATATATTTAGCTACCTACACATGCTGGACTCTGATATACAGAAACTCAGCCGTGGAGGAGTCCATTCTATGTGCAGCCAGTTTTTCAATACCCAGAAGTTTTCCAAAACTGCTATGCCTCTTATGCCTATCATTCATTCAGGCAGAAGTTCTTTCGGTACTTGATTTGAGACAAGTAAATCACTATAGATTGTTGTCTACGCGTTTCTACGATAAGTAGAGTGTACTCCTGACAATTTCTAGCTACCAACTTTTGTCTGCTTGAATAATTGTGAGAACGTGGGTTAGCCTGTTCGACCAGAGTCACTAAAAGTAGGCACACTTTAGTCGAAAGTAGGAAGATAGCGGTAAACTGGTAAATGCGTAGGTGCTTTTGATGCCAAACCTGCCGCTTGGGCCCTATTCGAGGGACAAGCTTGCTGAGGGATCCTTGTTTGATATCCGTCATTTCACTGTTTTGGGTAAGGTATGCTTGTTTGGACGACCAAGCTACAGCATGGACCTGCCCGTATAAGCTACTCTTGTTTTCCATGGGACATGTCATTGGCATTGTATAAAACGACTCACTATCTAGAAATATAGAGACAACCCAGAAAAGGTGCTCACCAAGAAACTGATTTGGGACAAAAGACCCCAGGGCTACTACAATTCCCAATGATCAGCAGTATGATAGAAGTTACAGAACAATTTTCGTGAACGATGAGAAAGGAGTCACTCGCCTTGTCCTACAGTATCGGCAAGTTGCTGAAACCTTGATCTACCATTTGGCAGTCAGTCGGTGATTAGTGAGGAGAATTTAACGACACATATTGTCCAGCTAGTAAGGAACAATGACGTTACAGGCGCCGTAACAAAGAAAGCAAAGGGGTTACTTGGTAGTTAGGATGATTTTATGAGAGTAGGATTGACTGGCTTCAGTGGTGGTTTATTACCTATAGTGGAAACTTGATGGGACTACTTCCAAACTCAGCTGGTCCGTAGGTGTAACGAGGCCGTGCAAGAGGTGTAAGGCACTCAGCCCAACAGTTATTCAACTTTAGTTACTCTTGGACGCCCTTGCAGAGGACGAAGTACTCAGGATTATTTCTTTAGGTGGTCACCGAGGTATCTATCATCACATGATCAAATTGGCGTCACAATTCAATGACAGTCAAAAGGGTATTCGACGCGGAACAACCGTTAAATAATGCTCATGGCATTTTAATTTCAATTCAATTCAATTCCAATTCCTATCCGGTCTCCATGAATAAAAACAGATTCCAAACGCCCACAATTAACACAGGGAGGTCACCATCAAGGTGACTCCATGCTCAGAAGTTCCAATAGCAAATGATGCGTCCATCGTAATTTCATGACCAATCCGTTTCGTTCGTCTCTGCGTGGAGAAGCACTTTCATACCACGAGCAGAGGGGCAGGCGAACACCCCAACTCCGTGCTTCAAATAACAGAGACCCAGATACCAGTGAAAGGTCATACCTACCGTGGTCCAGTGGGGTACTGGTACTTATCGGATGGTCATCTGCTTAGCCATGGAGGCCTTGCTAGACGCGCCAGAGGCACCAATGCCAGCGGTGGCACCAGCCTTCTTCTCAAAGATCTTCCAGAACTTGAGACTCTCATCAGCAGCTAGTGGGTTGTTAGCAGACTGCTAGTTATGGTCCGAATGTGACTGAACTTACCAGCTGTAGCAAGCATCTGGCCGTCGGGGCTCAAGCAGCTGTGGAGGACTCGGCTCTCGTGGGCAGGGATCTCAACAGTACGGACAAGGGTAGGGTAGCTCCAGATGCTGAGAGAGTTGTCAGGGAAACCGCTTGAGCTGACGATCTCGCGGTGGTGGGGGCTCCAGCGAAGAGAAGTGACCTGAGAACCAGTGTCGATGCTGTTGACGCGAGCACCGGAGGTGGAGTTCCAGAAGTGGATGTGACGGTCGTAAGAGCCGCCACCAGTAGCAAGGAGGTTCATGTTCCAAGGGCACCAAGAGAGAGCCTTGACAGCGGCCTTATGGTTGGTCTTGGTGAACTTAGGAACAGACAGAGATCGGGCATCCCAGATGGAGACGAGGTTGTCGTTGCCGCCAGTAGCGAGCTGAGCGCCATCGGAGCGCCACTCAAGACCGCAAACCTCAGATGTATGGGAGACGAGCTCAGCAACCTTGTGCTCGGCAATGCGAACGTCGTGGTTGTAGACAAGACCGCTACGAGCACCAGTGGAGAGAAGGTGCTTGTTCCACCCCATGACACCCACACGTGTATCATGGCCGAACATGCTTCGAATCTTCTGGCCCTCCGCAACGTCCCAGATCTGGACCTCACCAGTTCCCATACCAACACTGACATAGGCGCCATCACCAGACCACTTGACGCTGCTGACATATGTATCAGGAGTGGTCTCAAGGAGACAGCTGACACTGCCCTCATCGGCAGACCAAACATAGACATTGCGCTCGAGACCGATAGCGACCTGGTTGCCAGAGCTCCAGTCGAGGAGGTTGAGGTAGTAGTCGTCCACGAGACCAGGAGCATCAAGAACACGCTCAGGGGCCGTAGCAATGCGGCGGCGGAGCTGCGCGGAGCTGGAACTAGCGGACTTGAGGGGGCGGTTGTACTGTTGTCGCAGGTCAATTGGCTTGGAGGACTCGGGGGCAGCAGGCTTGAACTCGAGAATACGAGTGTTCAGGCTAACACCACAAGCATTGGCAAGAGAATCTTGGTAAGCCACAGTGTTAGGGGAGGGTCGAGAGTAGTTGTCAGGCTCATCATCGTTGATGTTGAGGCTCTCAAGAGCAGCCATGGCCTCGTCAGCAGCAGCAGAGAGAACAGTAGAGCTCTCGGAGCTGCTGCTCTTGGGTCGTTGTCTATCGGCGAGATCAAGCTTGCCAGAACCAGCGTTGGAAATGGCAGAGCTTGCACCACGGTTGGGGATAAATCGGTCGCCACCGTAGTTCAGAGTAGTCTTAGCAGTCTTGGAGCGGATGCTCTTCTTAGACTTGGTGCTTGAAGGGGTCTTGGTTGTGTTGCCAGTACCAGTGAGGGTAAAGTCAGAGACACCAAGCTCAAGAGCCTTCCGGGGAGTATGAACACCACGGGCGATGTTGGACTTGGGGGAGTCCCGGTGAGAGGACTTTGTAGTAGATCGGGCAAGGTGAGACATGAGGTTACCGCCATATGTAGAGCGGCCAGATGGTCGGAACTCATTGCTGGACTGTCTTTCGGGGGTGAAGGGGGAAGAGTTCAGGTTGACGGGGACGTTCGTCGTTGATGACTGTTGTCGGGGAGAGGGAGTCAAAGGCATGCGCCCGCCAGCGGTACGGGCTGAGAAAAGCCCCTTATGGGACTTGACAGGCGTCGACAATGCTACAGAAGCCATTGTGATATTTGTGATATGATGACCTGTATATCAAACAAGGTAGAGATAGGTGAAGAGCGTGTAAGTGGGACTCGAGACGAGTGACCCAAGGCTGGATGTTATATCGAGACTTGAAGCTATCGAACGAGGTCCAACGAGGGGCTGTACTGAGATCAATGATCGATAAAAATCGAGTCTGTCTTCACAAAGATATAACGAAGTTGGGGGGCGATCGAATGGCGTTAGCGATAGGATCTAGCAAGCTTTGAAATTTCTTGTAAGAAGCGTTGGAACAGAGATTTGCAATAGAGCACGAGGCTATAGCGAGGAAGTAAGGTGATTGAGGAGGAGAGCGAGTTGTAGATGGTGATTATGAGGAGAGAATCACCCACAAGCTGAAGCTCATGACGGTTACTTTTTATTTACTTTGGCCCCTCCAAGCTTCTGGCCAGGCAACCAGTAGACATGTGGTCGGACCTGAGTTGCTCCCGTTCCGCGACCCGGCCAACGTAGGCGAACCAATTAAATCACGAGAACACCACGCCTCATCAGCCTTGTCCTTGCCTGGCGCGATGACCAAATTTCTCCTACAGTAGACGCGGCTCCAAATGTGCAGGGGGGTTTTTCTCTTTGTCCGTTGCATCACCAGCCGCATTCAACACCATCCACTTTCACATCCACTTTCTTCACCGACCCGACGGACGGCTCACATCTACGACGTGGCTTGTGTCTCGTTCGTTCCTTGTGCTCAACCTTTGTCCGTCTTTTTCTCCGACCACTCAGTTTCAAACGGCAGCACAACGTTGTGAGATGCGCAGCCAACGCCACTGATCGCTCGTCGAATTTACAATTCAAGCCATGGCTCAACCTTCAACCCCCGGACAGTCTATCTTTGGCGGGCCTACCCCTGTCGCCGGAACAACGCAGGCCTTTGGTGCTGTCAACCAGACTTCATCGACCTCGACTTCACTGCAACCGACTCCGACGCCGCCTTCGGCCGCTTCGTCGTCCAACAATACCTACATTATGCCAAATTCCCCTGCAAAGGGTCGCAGCGTCGCCGATGGATACCGACCCAAAGTCACCCGCACGCTAGGCCAGAGACCCGCTTGTCTAGTAAATGCTTCAGTGACGTATTGTGGGAACAATCAAATATATGCTTTCGGAGGATTCGACCAATATACCGATGAGGTCTATAACCATGTACTGAGGCTGGACCTCGTTAGCCATCAATGGAGTCTTGTCGACAACTATGGTGATATTCCAGGAGTTCGGATGGGTAAGCCACATAGAAAATCACCGAGTTACAGATACTAATATTGTCCAGGACACACTGCGACCTTGTATCAGGGAAACAAACTCCTAGTCTTTGGCGGCGAGAACGAACATCGAACATACCTTTCGGACCTCATTGTCTTTGACCTCAAGACTGCCCACTGGACTCAGCCACAAGTCTCAGGCCCGATCCCGAAAGGTAGAGCGAGACATGCTGCTGTCTTACACGAGGACAAGCTCTTCATCATTGGTGGCATAACTGGCCAGAATAACTACGTGTTGGATGACATTTGCTACCTCGATTTGAAGACTTTCACCTGGTCTAAGTCTTGGCGTTTTGTTGGTCGGTTTGACCACTCGGCTTACATCTGGGGCGACCGAGTCTGGGTATTTGGAGGTCTGAGTGAGGACATGGACAAAATCAGCGATCTGTGGTGGTTAGATCTGAAAGGAAATCCACAATTTGACTCTCGACCTCAAATAGGCATTTTCGATCGGGGTTCTCTATCTACTCGAGCTAGTAGCTCTCCCCGACCTCCATACACCATGACCCAGGCGCCTGTTGTAGGGGCTTCTGGCTACGCTGCCAACTCTCGCACGGCCCAGGTCAACCCGCCTTCAATTCAAATGAAGACATACGCGCCTGTGGCTCCCGGGTCCATATCTGCTCTCAAATTCATGTCCGGTCCATCGATTCCCTCTCAGGGCTCAGGTCTTCACTTTCACGCCTACTCTTCGGGTACTCTTCTCGATTTTGTCACACCTGCGGCGACTCTCACATCGAGAGAGTGTTCTTTGTCAGCCCTGGACCTTGGTACGCTTCGCTGGACGAAGCTTGCTGGGGGACGGGAGATCTTCAAAGCGGGTTACAGGTGGCATTACTGTTGTATGAATGAGGATGGCACCAAATCCTGGTTATTAGGATGTCCGACAGACCCTGCTCCGGGCGACATAGGGCCCAACGGCTATGAGGAGTATCTTAGGTAAGATCAGCTCTATCTCAAAACTTAATGGTATGGCTGACATGATTTGACAGTGATATTATGGAAATTGACCTGCGACGATATGGCTTTCTGGGCGATAACTTGACACCAGAACCAAGGGTAGAGTCAAGGCCATCTGCGATGACAAGAGCCGTGGATCAACCCTCCAAAGGATTAGGTTCAGATCTCGCGAATCTCTTCAACCAGCCACCTGAGACAGGCAGCGGAACTGATTTTGTCATTACTGCGCTGGCTAGTGATTACGATGACGATGAGGCTCTGAGCTCCGGCCTGATTCGTAATGATGACACGACAGCGCGAAACGAGAGCTGGCTCTCAGCAGACGCGCCGACCTCACAGCCCATTCATGTTCACAAGCTCATCCTCCAGGCGCGTTGGCCACACTTTGCACGTCTTTACAACGCCCAAATGGCTGAGTTTCACACCAAAAAGATGCACATCCCCGAGCCTTACAGTGTAGTCAAGGCCTTCCTCTACTATCTATACACAGATAGCATCCGTGGTACCTCGGATAACGATAGTGACGCAACCACGGCGCTCTCTGATGTGGCAGGCCTTCTGGTTATGTCCAACATCTATAATATCCCTCATCTTCGCCTCCTTTGTGTCAATCGGCTTGCCAAAGAACTCGATGTCGACCATGCTTGTATCATCTGGTACTGTGCAGGACTCGCTAATGAAGAGTGGTTGCGTAAACGTGCCGCAGGATTCTGCATGACCCATTGGGGCCGTATTGTCCGGACCCAGGGCTTCCTCCGTTTGCCGCGCACTGCACTTGTCGAGCTTTCACAAGAAATCGACATGGAAGGACGTGTCATTGGCGGAGAAGAACTTGAATGGGGTGGCATGAATGATAACATGGGACACGATGCTCGTAAGGGGAGCGTTAGCAGTAACCAAACCCATATGATCGAGTCTGAAGCTGATGATGACGATGGCATGGAGATGACATGAAGTTACTTGCATGTCGATTGCTATCGTGTCCTGGTGGCTGACTGAAGGATTCTTATCGTGTGTCTTGTGAATCTCAGCAGCTTCTTCATGCCTCACAAGGTCACCGATTTGCGCGATGCTGTTAATGCATCTGCCAAAACAGGCACCTTCTTCCTTTCTGTGCCTGCTCTCTCATTATCTCAAGTTCATCTGGCCTTTCTGCTCCACATCTAGATGCAGAGTGGCCGGTAAGAAGCACAGTGACACTTGGGTAAGTTTTCCACATAATGCCTATTATAGGAGTGTCTGTCCATTGGCGTCTACACGACTGTTGCTTTCTTAACTCTTGTTCGACTTAGCTTCTTACGCATTGCGAGGCGTTTTGTATCTGCACAGCGAGCTAGTTATGAGCCATGGCCTTGTAAGATTAGATAGATATGTCAAATATACGATACCCTTCATCCCTGTTTACTCTGTCTGATCTCAACTCATAACTTTGTCGCCCCAACTACTCGCAATCTATTCCACAGGTCTAGGTGTATATCTGTGCATCACCAAATGCCAACCCTTCGGTGTCCACCCAGCACTTCTGACGAGTTCATCCGGCTGGTATTTCTTATGTCAATATGAGTTGTGATTCTGATGTTGGAGAAAAGAACCACTGTCCAGTTAATGTACAATTGCAGCAAGAGAAGAAATTAGAATTCGTCTTCTAGCAGCACCGGCAAGTCAAACATTTCTTTTACTAACTTAGCACTCAGTAACATCTTAATCTTGGTAATGGAAATCTCAAAAACAATCCTATTCACTTAAAGGGCAGACGACGCTGTCCAGTCTATAACCTCGCTTTTCATTGTTCGACCGACTCCAACCATCCTCGCTTTTAATATAATGTCAGTACAAGATGGTGGAAGTTGCTTTGCCAACACTAGTCAATACTGACTAACAGGAGTAATGAAGAACAAGTGTGATCATGCATCTCCCACTCAAACAAGAACAAAAAGGGAGACCGCCCCAATTTCCAGGGCACCATGCAAATGCCATCTTTCCCAACCTAACATCTAAGGACCATTCATCAACTTTTGAAAATAAAACCAGAAAGCAGAAAAAGAAAAACATGATAACCCGTTTCCACGTGCCAGGCCAGCCAGCATATCAGTACAGGCATCTGACTCGAATTAGACTTCGAGTATCAATAGATCCAGCGAACGCGTACCCAACCAAATATCCGAGAATTTCCAACAGACGGCATATTTATCTCAAGTCAAACAACAGTTGCAGAAACTGAGGTGAAACACTGCATTTTTGTTTGCAGTTGGTTATCGGAGTTAGAGAAATGGTGTGCCATTCTCCAGTGGTTCAAACCGTCTAATACGGATAGTTGACGCTGATATAATATGTTGTGAAATCCGGGTACGAGACAGAATGCAAATGCCCGGAGGGGGGGTTATTGGCGAGAAAGAGACACCGAGAGCGCATATAAGATCGATATGGTAGCCCGGAAAGAGCCGAGAGTTAGTACCAGCATTTGCACTGAATTCAGCTGCCGAGATCCAAGACGTCGCTCGTAAGTATAGAAGTTTGACTTCCTCAATGCTTTCAGACAAGGTCTTGACAGCGTGCTGTATACTATTGCATCATTTGGTCTTCTCCTATTCCCGGCAAGTTCATACCCGCTGCAAGAGCCTGAAGCTTGAAGTCAGGATTGCATGGAAGGGAATGTGCCTTATGCTTTTCGGAAAGTGTTAGCATGGAAGGGACTTTGATCTAGAGGTTCGTGAGTAACTTACGTATTTTAGTCCATTCAAGTTTTTATATCGTTTGCCGCATGTTTCACAGCTAAAAGGCTTCTCCTTCTCCATTCCCAATGTTCCGGGGTAAGGGGCACTGGTTTCTGGGTTGACGATAGAAAAGGTACCGTCTCCATTCTCATGAAGTTGTTGAGTTTGATGGCCATGAGTTTTGTGGTATCTGGAAACAAGTTAGCAAGCATATCCACGATCAGGATACAACCGAAAACCATGAGTCAGAACTTACTTGAGACCGTTCTGGTTTTTGTACGCCTTCTCGCAACCAATGACTGGACATTTGAACGGCTTGTGCTCTTCAGGCATCATCATGCTCTGCAAACGCTGCATGAGAATCTTGTTGGCCTGTGGGTCGTTCAACTGGGCTTGGTTAATTCCTAGCTGTTGCAATTGTGCCTGAATGGAACGGTTGGCAGCAGGGAAAGCCCCAGTGGAGCTGAAAAGGTGTTTCCCAGGATCGTTTATGCAAAAGTTTGAATCGCTATTGTTCTGGTTTCCGCCAAAGCTCATATCGCCGATATCGTTCGTGTTGCCACCCATGGGCATACCAGGTAGGTCTTCCTCCATATCGACTTGCTGGGTGTGTGGTACTTGTCCTTGTGTCGTAAGAGTAGGTGTATTAACGGAAGAGACTGTGGGGTTGTTCTGCAGGCCAAAACTTGCGGCAGCGGGAGTGGGTGGCTGAGAGGTCCGTAGGCCCTGTGTAAGACCAGAGGTGTTCATGTTCAGCTCGGGCCTCTGTTGCTGACCAAAAAGTTGCCTTGTTTGGGACATTCGCTGGCTATCGTCCATCTCCATCGTGCCTACAGCATCGTCCATTTCCATATCTGCAACAGCATCCATCTCATCATTCAGGTTTGACGCCATTGCAGAGCTTCCATGCGTATCATGGGAGGCCTGTTGGCCGCGGTTATGTTGTCCTAGTTGGCTCGTTGCGAGGGAACTGCCGCCTGGCGCTGCTGACCCAGCTCGAGACATGGACATCCGAGGGGCGTTGGGCAGGCCCAGCTGAGAGAATTGAGAAAAGGCATTATTTCGGGCTGTGTTCGGGCTAGGTTGCGTGTGGGCTTCCTCGTAATGTTGCAGCAAGTCGTGGAGATTAGGCAGGATCTTGCCGCAGCAGGTGAAATCTCGCATGAAGTTGGCCTCCAACTTGGGCAAATAGGAAGAAGAGTGAAAGGAAGGAGACTGGTGAGTTCCGAAAGGTGACGTGCCTGCCATCATAATACTATAAGACCACGATGTTAGTAAATTGCAACCCCAAGTGCGATCATACATCGGGCACAATCGGTTTCTGACGCATGTGGGCTGTCGCAGGGCTAGGATGGAGCCCGAAGCTTAGCAACGGCTCGCCACAATACATAATCAGTTGTCTTCATCAACGGCGGTGATAGTCACAGACAATCTGAAGCTTCGTGCTACAACTCAGGTCGCTTTGGTCCAACGGAATGAGGTTGTGTATAGAGCGAACAAAGGAAGCCTAATCGTGACAGAGCAGTGGCCGCTCGGCCAAGGAGCCAAAGCGAGGGCAATATTTCAAATACAAAGATGATGAAGATAAAGTATGCAGTGCGGTGACTTACTCGTCTCTGACAAAACTACCAAAGGACATGCCTCCCCAGCTCATGCCGCCTCCCATGAGGCTACCAGCAAGAGACTCCCTTCTATTGCGGTTCGCATTGTCACCACGGTTGGGATTGTTCATCGATATGGGCTTAGGGCCAGCGCTGACAAAAGAGTCCCGGCGGCCCATAGAAGGGTCGAGGGATGGCCCGGTAGTCATGGTGATTTCGGTGTCTTCAGGAAGTGTGTAGTCGACTGGTTGAATGGCAATGTCGCTATTGTGAATGTGAAAGTCGGTATCAACGGTTTGGAACTCTTCGGTGAGGTCGACGAGGGAAGTGTTGGTGGGAATACAAGGATCAAAGTCGCCGATGGAGAGTTGGGGGGCAGCAGCTTTAGCGGTAGTAATAGTGCTCGACAGCACCGAGGCAGCGGCTGGAACAACGGATTTAGAAGCAATATTAGCGTGAGCGCCAGGCAGAAAATGGCCCGTGGTAGGGGTCTTGGGCTGGGGCGACGGCGACTGCGACTGCGACTGCGTCAGCGAGCTTGAGCCCGAATTGATGAGCGACCCTGGAGAGTCAGGGTTATCAGCAACGGCGGCGGCGAAGTGGGCATGGGCGCTCGAGTCACAGGCACGGTCGTTGCTGTTGGCGTTGGCGGTGGCGGCGGAGACTGCGGCCGAGGGGGCGAGACCTGATGAGCGAATGGCGTTAGTAGGATCCCTCATCCTGGTACTCTTGGTGGAGGTAGACGCACGCGGCTCCTGGGTTCCCACAGTGTCGCTTGGCTTCTGGAACAACCTGCCGAACAACTTCCCCATGTCGAATGAAATACAATGAATGATACTCCGTAAATCTGATGATATTAAAGTGTTGTAATGTTTCTGAAGAAAAAGGTGGGGATAATTATTAAGATGGTATCGACAAAGAACTGGGAGTAGGTAGATGTTGAGGCAGCCTAAAAAGACCCTACTAAGCTGCAGAAGAAAACAGCAGGAGCGGTAGGTTTGCAGGTACGCCCTGTGTAGTAGGTTGGTGTCATCCACCTGCCGATACCAAGAAAGTACCTGAGGTGGGCAGAAGATGGAAGGAGAGAATCAGGTACCGATGTCCAATCACACCAGGTCAGGTCAGGAAAGGTGCTATTCCCAGGTGTCTCTGTGTTGTGGACGGTTTCGTCCAAGACGGGATGGGTTAGACTGGGCTTGGCGTGATGCTGTCCAGGGACCCCAGTCACTCACTAATCACTGTGTGGTTTTAGTGGGTGCTGTTGCTCTGGGTTCTTGGTGGATTTTCATAAATCGATCAAGAAGCTTGTGTGAGGTGAGGGGCAGGGTAGTTCTCTAAATAAATAAGTAGGTGAGGAGGAAGGTTTAGAATAATAAAACGGTAGGCAATTTGACTTTTCCGGAATGTCTCTCCACTTGAAAGATTGTGAAATAAAGGTGTCTGCCTGATGGTGCTGGCGCTCCTATGTCATCAGCACTGGATGAGTCTTTGGTAGGCTTTCAGCGGTCAACCTCTAACCTATGCGAGCACTCCCACGCTGCCACGCATCGATGACTGTTCTTCTTCTTCTGAGGCTTCTGGGTAGCTGTGTTACGTGTGGTGATATCTGTGCCGCGAACGAGGTTCTTGAATGGAAGTCAAATTCCACTTGGGGGAAACCTTAGAGTTGACTCAGGCCGCGTCCCTGCGACCTATTCGATGAGGAGTTGTTGGGGGTATAATCGATGACAACTTAATAATGAACCAGAATGCAGTATGAAGTAATTCTTGACGATTGAATTGTGTCGGATGAAGTCGACTAGGGGATCTGACAAGCAGTGCCAACAAAAGTACTGCTGCAAAATGCTCAGTTCGAAGGTTGGGTTAAGGTGGGTGGGTGATGTGTGGATGATGTGGAAAAGATATCAGCATGAACCCAGACTGGCGATGAAGTTGAGCATGAAAGAGACTCTATGGCCTGTCTACAGATATAAGGAATGGTCAGTAGCTAGTCCAAATAAGTCAGGACGAGAGTTCTGCTCAATCGGATGCTCTATAGTATATCATATCGTTGCATACTCAAGATTCAGACAAGAGATATGACGAAGATACGACAGAGCAGCTCTTAGACGCCCACACAACCACTACGCCTCTAGTAGCAGTGACTTTACCGCAACTTTCTTCCTAGCTTAGATAGGAGATGATCAAGGGATTATCGCTAATTCCTTGATTGGGTGTCTCCAGTGGACGCTTCTGTTGGAGACCTACAGTTGATGCTGGTTCGTACCATATGACGATGTATCCAACCAACACATATTTAAACCGATCAACGGTTTTATGTGATACTCTGGTTCTTGATGTTCTCGATCGTTTTCACACTTTTTGAGCTTGCAAAGTTCTCGCAACAATAAGGGCCGGAGTTTAATAAGTCCCTTAGAAATAAACGTAAAAGAGCAGGTGATGATGCAAGGTTCATGGGTTTCTGTATTGGAATCGCAAAACGAAACATGACAGCCAATCAGTAGAATCAAGGATCAGGGGTTCATGAATGGCGGAGGGGGAATTACCGAGAATGAGCAAAAAAGCATCAGCTGGTGTGGGGGGCTCCAGCCTGGACATGGTAGTTGGTTGAGGCCAACGCACATAACATACACCAGGTCCAACGCAATGTTCCTCAAACCCCTTTATCCAAGTATAGATAGTTGGCCTCGACAGTCTGGTTAAAACTGACTAGAATGATATTCGTGGTCTTTCTCTAGCACCGGAACAATCTATCAGGGACGGAAAGATGCGGCACAGATACGATCCCAGTGTATTCGTGGTTCTTAGGTATTGAGTAGTGAGTGCAGCTGGTCGAAAATAAGCCTGGAAATAATATTGCCAGTATGTATGGATATGTCAAAAAATATCTTCCAATTATGAGATCAGTCATAATATTACTTGACACTCAAAGCATAGCCAGTGCTGTCTTTCACTACATCGAGGAGCTGAGTTAGCCACAACATTTTTGTATGGTTCTTGTCATACATACTACCTTACCATAAGATTGCCAAGTCGATGCTCAACAAATGGTATACATGGGCCACTAGTCCCTTGACCCACGAGTCCCAGCTAGTCCTACGGTTGCAACGCTACTCAATACTAGGTATTCGGGCCTCAAAGCGCTAATGTGTATGAACCTGTTCGAGGACTGGGCCCCAGGTTACGAGTTCTCAACAATGGGATTCATGTGGAAGCTGCGGCAACCACATCGACACACTGCAGAGTCTCATATTATTTTCAAGAAAAGCAGGACCTAGCCCAGAATCGCAAGAATCCAGTCCCAACTCTAAGCTTGTTGATCACCCTCAAAGTTGGTGTGCATTTTGGCGTCAATTAAAGATGCAGAAGACAAGAGGAAAGGGGTCCCACTCATACAGCCACAAAACGTGGCATATTAGTGTATTCCCATGGATTATTACTGGTCTTAAATGCCGACAAAGACCTCGGTCTATTAGTTCAATGCTATTCACACTTCATCAATACACCAAACTTCTGGTGGAGATAGCTGCTAAGTTAGGTGGAACCACTGGTATTTTGCCAAGATATAGTGAACTGCGCATTCGCTGAAGGCAGTTTCAGTGTCGCATCAAACTCTAATAAAACTGTTGTCGTACTAGGTACACTACGAGATCGAGAGATTGCTAAGTCGTGTTAGGGAGCAAGATGCCGATTGCATCGTGAACAGCAGGAAAACGATTTCCATGTTCAATGATCAGCATCTGCAAACACACAGCCAGTGACATCTAGATCCGTTTTAGTGTCACCATTCCAAGACTGCAAGGCTGAACTGTGAGACATGCAGACATGGAACTAACAGCGGACCAATACCTCCTGGTTCGAGCCATACCGGTTCGCCAGCATCTCTCGTAGGATCAGAAGTTTCAGTCAGCGCTAGAAGCCTGCCAGAAGAAGGCTTTGTGTCTGCAAAATAATGGCAAACTGGCGTTGAGACCACAAAGTCGATCCTGATCTTGTCTGAGACTTGGGGCTTCTGTAAGTGGGGCTGGGCTGGCAGGGCTGTGATCTATCAAGATTACATCGTAAGGACTACAGAAATGGCATGTACATCAAAGAACACAGGCTAACAGGGAGAATAACATCGACAAAGGAACATGGCCTTATCGTTGGCTGAGAAGTGATCGCAAAGTTCCCTGCCTGTGCCCCTATGTCGCATTATCCCGGGTCAATGGACAGTTGTCTTGAGTCAGGTAAAAAGATCGTGATCAAAAGAGATAATGGAGAAGAACTGCCGTCCGAGATAGGAACAGGAACTCATAAACAAATCGCGTCGGCGGGCTCAACTCGCGTATCCATAACCGAGAAACTCCTCTCATTGAGTGACGAGTTGTATATCCACAGATCAGCCTTTAAAGAGTCGGCCGCTAAACTCACGTTTCCAGCCTCCTCGAGATAAAGGTACTTGGGAAGCTAAGATACAATCTATGTCTAGATGCCGGCGGAAGCACCCCCGAGGTGAACTATTCGATCAAGGCAGTGAGATAGTCATTAATGACATCTGGCTAGTCGCTCGTTGGCTAATAATCTGATGGCTTCCTTTTGGGACATTTAAGCAGCTCCAAAAATCACCACCTTTTGACTAGTGTAAAGTATTTACCTGATTGATGGTGGTGCAATTGGCTTTTAGAGGGGAATATCATTCCTGTTTTGGGCCTTGGTTTCACGACTCGAGTCGACCTGGACCGTGCAGAGTCTTTACGTCAGAGCATTCATGGGCTGGGAGAGGTGCATTAGGCCAAACTCTGATATCCCGGCCGAGATGTCGATGTAGATGTAGCGCAACGCTCTGATGCAACGTAAACGATCAAATTTCCGTTTACGCAAGTAATCGCTGCACGTCTTTATGCATCATGTCAAAGCTCATGACTCTTGCCTGAGCTTGGACAGTAACGCAAACAACGTGGCATCAACGTGCTGTGTGGTGTTTGGTGACCTTTTGACAATTCAAGGCTAATGCCAATACTTCATGAGCCGGGGAGACCAATACCCAATGGTCCCAATTGAATGGTAAGAGGGACTAGAAAACCAGATCTCGTTACATTGTCATGTATGTACGTCGCTGTGACAGCTTGACGTTTCGCATCAGGATGTGATAGATCCTAAACTGGCTCCAATGCCAATGTGACAACGTTTTTCACAACTAGGATCCGGGGTCGGCAGATAGAGACGACAACGGTTGCGCCTTCCCTCATAGGAATATTCGAATCACGGGCATTGCTGCTGCCTGCCTCGATTTCAGGAATGAGCCCAGGAACGGCATCACATGAAGACGGCTTCCGTCTCAACTCTTCGCCGAAGGTACCTTGAACATAGGTCGCTTTATCAACTGTTCGTTCGTTAAATGGATCTACGAACTCCTCCAGCCTTCCCTACGTACATACAGATTACTTGGAACTTTACAACCTACCTAAATAGTGCCTCATTAGTCTGCTGGCCAACTTGAACCTTGCATATCTCCTAAGCAGTACCTGGGCTCGTCCCGCAACCCTCCACTATGAGTGGTGACTTAACAAAACCATGGAAAGGCATGAATAGATCATGGGATCGCCGCCTATACTCAACATTTCGTGAGATCCATTTGACCGCGGTCACTTTATCACAAAGGCTCATTTATAAACAACACAAGCTAACTTTCCTCTGACCTCCGCGTGGCTGTGTTCCATCATTTCCGCCACTGTAGAAGCTCTTCACAGAAGCTTTCCGTGGAAGCATCGCAGAAAATAGAATCTATGGACAAGCAAAGTACCTTGACGGAAGTTCCGTGGTTCAATGATGTACCGACATTGGATTATAACTTTCCATATGCGCACTTGGTTCAAGCCAATAAGATTCCAGGTATCGCCGGACATCAACCCAGCAATGGACTGGTCCAGGAAGCTGGTGCCGCTGTCAACCTTCAATGCT